CCTGGGCTTCTTCTTGAAACTGTTCAAGAATTGGGGCAACTTGGGCAGAATGGAAAGCGAACGGCACCCTTAGTTTAGTAGACTTCCAGCCTTCGGTGGAACACCTTTGGGCCAAGTCATCGATGTCGGCGGTAAGACCACTAACGACGGTCTCACTGGGTGAGTTAACACAGGCAACTTCATCCACACCTTCTTTCAGCAACTGCTTGACCTGTGGGTAAGAAGCCTTGACAGCCAGCATGGCGTGCGTTCCAATCTCGCAGTTTTCTGTAAGGAGCGTAGCCCGACGACCACAGAGGTAGATAGTATCTGAAGTCGACAACACACCTGCTGTATTCAAGGCAGCAAACTCCCCAAGGCTATGCCCAAGGACGAATGCAGGTCTTATACCCAGTGAGTCCCAGTAGTTGACCAAAGCCATCTGGAGACATGTGGTACCGAGCTGTGTCACGACAGGGCCCAGCTCCTCCACGGGCACGCTCCCATCAACCAAAGGAAGGATTGAAGGAAATCCTTGACTTCGGCTGATGCAGTCGAAATGCTGCATTGTTGTCCGAAATTGAGAGCATTTTTCGTACAGCTGCCTTCCCATTCCGGTGTGCTGAGCCCCTTGGCCAGTGAACGCGAACCCCACACCAGGAGCCGTCGCAGGAATAGAGGCAAAGCTTTCCTGACGAGCGCTGTTGTTAAGCGAGTCACGCAGCTCCTGCAAGCTAGACCCAGTGGCTGTGACACGGAACGGGTGGTGAACACGCCGTGCTGTGGTGGTGTATGCCAAGCTTGGAATAAACTCTGCCTCGTTTACATTGAATGACCTTCCTTGTTCATCGATGTATTTTACGAGAGAGTTGATATTGTTCTTGAGCGCACTCTGGGATCGTGCTGATACTGCCACAACGTGAACAGATCGAGTATCCTGACCCTTAACCTCAGGAATTGGAGCGTCTTCCACCAAAAGAGCGGTGTTTCCACCAGCCGCCGAAAAATTGTTGATGAAGCACTGTCGCTTTCCTGAGACTGGTCTGTTCCAGGGTGTAGGTTGGAAGGCAATGTGGACATTGCGCTGTGCAAGATCAGTGGGGAAGTTGTGGTTGATCTTGGTCTTTATACCACAATGAGGAGGTATGGTGTTCTTCTTCATCATTAGAAGCACCTTCACAAGCGCAGTTACACCAGATGCTGACTCTCCATGCCCAATATTTGCTTTGGCGGAACCAAGATGGAGGGACTGTCCTGGTCCACGGCGGTAGTCGGGAGCAAATGTATCCAAGACCGACTGCATTTCCACTGCATCCCCAGCTTGAGTACCAGTTCCATGCATTTCAACATAGCTGACGTCCTTGGGGTCGATATTCGCGTCGTTCAATAGTTTATTAAAGATAAACGCTTGTGCGCCAACATGAGGGCGGGTAATCGAGACAGCTTCTGCCGAGTGATTGGTATATGCCCCATTGATCACACCAAGGATTGGATCGTTATCTGCCTGGGCGTCTTCCAGCCGCTTGAGAATGATTGTACCCACTCCATCTGCTCTGCAGTAACCATCAGCACCATCGTCGAATGTGTTACAATTCCCGGTTCTGGACAAGAAATGGCCACGGTCAAGACCGGCATGATTATCAGGGTTTGTCAATATATTGACACCTCCAGCAATAGCTGCATCGCAGTCATTTCTCCAGATCGAATTGCAAGCCATGTGAATAGCCGCAAGACTTGAAGAACAAGCTGTATCAACACTGACGCTGGGCCCGCTGAACTTGAAATAGTAGTTTATCCGACCAGGTGTGAAAGCACGATTGCCACCGGGGATAAAGTATGTATCGATATCTTGACCACTATTTATCTCACGATAGTCATCGCTAGTCATTCCATAGAAAAGACCAACTCGATCCCTTTGAGTCGACGGGGTACTGTCGGGAATAAAGCCGGCCATTTCAAGAGCTTCATAGGCCGTGAGCAATGCAAGTCTTTGAGCGGGATCTGCCTGGAGGGCTTCACGTGGCGACATGTTGAAGAAGCGGGGATCAAATAGCCCTGGTTCGTTTATCCAGCATCCGTATGGAACCTTGCTAGTATTACGCTTTGTTCCAGTAGGGTCAACGTGGGCATCAACATCCCAACGCTCTGCAGGCACCTTCCGATGTACATCGAGGCCATTATGCAGAACGTCCCAGAACCTCTCGGTGCCATCAGCTTCTGGGAATCGTCCAGACATGCCAATGATCGCTATCTTGGAGCACTCGGCCCTGCCGCTGATGTTTAGGTTGTCCTTCGGGTTCGTGGCAACATCTCCGACCCCATTTTCCACTTCGATGTCGGTTATTCCGGCTTTTGTAAGAGCTGTGAACAAGCTTTGTGTCGCGGTGCTCGAAATTGGAAACAACTTGCATGATTGATGACGAGCAGTTTTTAATATGGAAGAGCAGGCATCTGTGACCTTCTCCCAACATAGTTGACGTAACAAAATCTCTTCGAGGGCGGCCTTAAGCAGATCCTTCATAGTTTTGACCTCTATCGGTTTTCCCGTAGTACTTGATAGTACGGGGATACGGGGTGTGTAGTTTGCAACCACCTCATTAGGGCGGCTTTCGAGGATCCTGTCGACGTCTCGGCCATCGTAGAGATGTGCCGCATGGTAAGGACCATGGATTTGTGCCCTCACCGGCTTATGATTTTTAGACAGCCTAGTTTCAATCAAATCATCCAGGACCTTGGGCGGTGCGCTAATGGTAATACTGTTATATCCCACCGCGCTGATATACGGCCTGGATGAAGGAGGAGTTGCCTTTATCCGGTGGTTAGAACATTCTGCCCCACGGGCTATCTCGGGTCAATCAACTCACCCGTTCAACAGAGAATTCCGCTATAAGCTGGGAAGCATCCTTCTCGCTAATCCCTGAAATCAAAACTGACCAGCTTGTTGACGACGCTTGGTCAGAGTTCACCAGCTCTCGAACTTTAAGGACGCATAGACCAAGTCGGAGAGCTACCACCACTGCTTCAACTGCGGCCGGAATCAACTCCCCAACATTAGTCGAAGAGCTTACAGCTGCAGCACTAAGAAGACCTGCGCACAGGCCAATGAGATGGCAGTCTGAAGCAGACGGGTACACGTTTCCAAGGTCTCCGTAGTAGCTATCCCAGGTTAGGCACGTTCAAATAGGTCAAGATCTGCAGTTGTACGTACTTTATAAAGCATCCCAGTTGATAGATACAGGTCAACGCGCTCTCCAGAGCCGGATTAGGGTCTGACTCCCGGTGACGCGCCAGTAGGTCCACTATGCTTGTAAACCGGGGGAAGATCTTTCGTTCAGATGGTGGAAGCCTCGCGATCTCTTGGCGCAAAGCGTGGAAGCATCTCTGGAAGAACGATGCAACAATTGTGTTATTCTTTACTTGTAGGAGGCGACGTAAGCCGGCGTCGAAATCACTTGTCTGGTCTCCGAAGAGATAGACGCCGCGTGGCCCCTCCATGATGAGTCAAAGAAAAAGTGCCAGTCAAGAGTCGCAGAGATGCTGATCAGAGCGTGTTCCCAAAGCAATTGGCTAGATATTAAATATGATTTATATACCAAGATATAGAGTTACAACCACATGCGACAGTGGGGACTATGCCTCCATTACGGCATGCGAAGAACTTGGACGAGCATTCCACCGATCACTCAATAGCCGATCACAAGCTCGTTTCCAGCCAAATGAATGAGGTCACATTGTCAAAACCTTCTAGAGCCTTTTACTATTATTGGGAAGCCAAGACCATATCATGCAGGCGATAACAGGCATCTCCATTGGAGTTGTATGGCCAATTGCCAATATGGTCTGACAGTCGATCTGTCGAATCCTACCGTTACGCTCTTGAGGTTGCTGACATCCACCTTGAGTCATATTGACACTGTATATATACAATTCTAGACTCAAGAATTTGCCTCCCTGAGAGAGAATCTGCGGTACAGGTTAGGCGAGCTACGTCTCTACCGTAAGGAGGTGGATGTTCCAAACTCTGTTTCCCAGTCTCAGGGCACATACAGCCGGCAAGCAAGCTTTGCATATGCGTGCAAAGCCTCGATCAATGACATACATGATTGGCCTTGATTCAAATGCATTGGGAGACAAGAATTGTTAGCAAAAGTCTGTTCTCGTCGTTGCAACGTTAACGGGGAGTCGTCGCCGCATTCGGCAAGAGTGAAGATGGCCCTCGTGGTCACGTGATGCCCACAAGCCCCCCCTTCTATCCCCCAAGGCCAACACACACTCCCTGCTTTCGTTCGGCAGATTCTGTAAATATGCTGTGGCTGGGGGCTTACCTCAGTCAGCCTTGTGATAAAGGACAACTGCCATCGACGGGGCCAGTGCATTCAGTTTACCCTTTCTACGCCGTATACCTTTAAATGTACTGCTACTACTACTACTAGTAGTAGTAGTCAATTACGAGGAACAAGATTGCTTGTTTACCACATATGATGTGCTGATTCGACTTGAACTGGTGATATTGTATTAATTAAGTATAGTCTAAGTTGACTAGAAGTCCAGCTCTAGGACAATGCGTATAAACAGAGTCAATCTCGTCGCTTCAATGAGCAGCAGTGTACGGAGTACTTCGTACGGCAGTGCCGAATACTACCATGCTATCAACAGACACATAATCTCATATCAAATACCATGTAACATCGGAGCAACGGGAAAAAATCGAACAACAGGAATCCTGGTGGAATCCTGGTGGAATCCTTTTACCATTTAGAAAAAAGGAAAAAGGAAAAAAAAAAACATGGGTCTTTTCTGGACTTGCTTTTTTATCGTTACATCTACTTTCTATCCGAACCCTAAACCATGGCTACCGATAGGGCGGTTCCGCTAAAACTCTAATAGCTATCGATAATGATGATTTATTTCTTAATAATTAGAGCCTCGAACAATCAGATATGAAGTCTAATTACGTATTATATTATTATACAGTTACAGAGATGCAAGGGCAGAGAATGATTGGTCATAAAGAAATGAGATCAAAGAGCATATTCCGGTGGAACCTCCGGCCATGCGTCGACGCCATCAAGTAAAGCGACCCCCATACCATTGGCTAGATGTGTTTCAATATGGCAATGGATGAGGAAAGGACCTGGGTTAATCACTTGGTACCGAATGACCATCCACCTTGGACCGAGAAGACCCAGTACCATAAAAGTATCTCGCAACCGCGGTCGCTCAAATTCGAAGAGCTCCGGCCTTTCCGTGGCTGCCTCGGCAACGCTCGTCCAGTTGAAGAACCCATCGCCTTCCCCGACGATGAAGGCTTTGTTCGAGTGCTTGTGAATGATATGGGGCGCCTGAATAGGTGGGGTGTCCGGCATTATACCAACCTGAAGTAAAACATCAACCCAGGTGCCATTCTGAGTTTGAACGGTAACTTTGTCGGCTAAGTTCTCCTTCGCGGTCAGGTTGTATAGGATCGGATCGTCGTAGTTGGCCATAACGTCATACAGCTGCTTCCCTTCCAGTGTCCACTGATACGCCGACTCTCGCCGACCAAAGGTGAGGTTGATCATCTGGTCGGCAGCCGTCGGAAGCTGGATGCTAGGATACGGTACGAAGAGACTCTCATTCAAGGGGATCACGTCAGCGGTAGTGTTTAATCCGCCATAATTAACATAGGGCTCGGAATCTTCGACGTGATCACCGCCCTTGTATCTCAGGGTGGCAAAGCCCGCGATGATTTGATCCGCATTTGTGTCGGGAATCCTAATCGTATAGTCTTTCGGCGTCTTGTCTAGTTTGACCATCGCAGAATAGCGCTCGCCATTGTACATCACCATAGTGTGTGCGAGTTGAGGCTCAATATAATGGCCGTCAACCTCATAAATCCACATAGGGTGCTCGTCGATAGATGCGATAAAAGCTTTCAGCCATGCAGCACTAATGAATTTCATACTGACCCATCCGTCATTTGGATCAACTTCAATTACTTCATGACTCCCGGCTGTGGCGACGCAGCCTGACTCTAGCCCGGGTGGGACCAGTGAGTCGTTTCGAGGGAAGCTTCCTTGGGTCTTGTAGATTTTGGGATAGCATCTTCCGGTCGTTCATTAGCGATATATGGGCTCTTTTTAGGAGAGAACAACATACCCTCTATCTGTCAGCGGCAGATTATCAATAGAAGCCTTCAAGTAGCTCGTTTGAAGGCTGTTGATAAAATCAGCTCCAGGACAAATCACGCGCCCTCGCCCGTTAATCAGAATACTGTCAACGCAGCTGGACTATTGTCAGTCAAATACCCTATTGGCTCTAGTCACGGGGTCCGTACAAAAGATCTACCCCACTCTCCTCCATAATCTTTTGGTACTCCTCCGAAGTATAATGTGACCAGTCCGATAATATGACGAACTTAGGGTCATTCTCGGCTTTGCGCATGGCTTCAATATCCTTTTCGTCATCGGATATCAAGTGAAACGGCTGTGGGATCTCAGGAGCGGGGCTTATAATGTCAGCTCTGTTCCATAAGATATGAGGGACATCTCAGTACACACTTAATCCAAATAGCTCCGTAGAGACCGTCCGCCATCAGGGACCGGGCGTGGGCATGATACCAATATGTGCCATATTCCGTGGCGGTCCATCGGTGGGTAAATGTGCCTCCAGGTAAAATAGGTTTCTGCGTCAAGCCAGGAACGCCATCTGACCACGGGGTGTTCAGTTGCCTGTATACAGTTAGAACCCCGTCATCGAGTAGCTATGCAAAAGGTGGTATGCGAACGCCGTGGCCGTAGTGCTGTACATACTCTATCCCATGAAAATGAATGGTGGCATTGAAAGGCATCTGATTATTCACCGTGAACTATGGCATATTAGTCAACTGAAAGGTGTGGCGGACAGTGATGGAAGGAAATATATATATGTTTCAACACATACCTCAACGTCATCATACTGGTTCAGTATCAACGGAGGGGCTGGAAATTGGTCATTCACAAAAATCATATCTCGAAGGTTGCCATCTGGAGAGCCCTTCGCCCACGTCAGATCCACCTCGAATTTAACGAGCTCGGCCAATACTGAAGGCAGCACATTGGCACTGAGCAACGCCACGAGGGATTTCAAAGGCGCCATTTTTGCAGCCCACCCTAGTAAGTAGATAGAAAGACTTTTTCTTGAGGAACGTGGTGTCCAATTCGAAAGACCTTTCTGAGCGTCTTAAATAAACACGTCTCATATTAGCCAAGCATCAGGTATGTACCTGAAATGCTGTGATGGCCGGAAGCGTAGAAAATAATCACAGGGAGATCTGGGTCTGAGAATGGACATTCCTAGAGTTGAACGACTAGTCTTCTGGAATTGAAGTGTGGGACCCGTACAATAATAATAATACGAGATCCAATCTCAACAAATGAGAATGTGAGATATTTTATGACTATAAACTGTCGTTTGTGTTCCCCTCTCTTGTGGTAATGCCCAGCCTCGTGTTCTCTCGATAGTAGTAGATCAGGGTTGCGGAACGCTCCTATGTAGTAACTAGTTAGCTAGTTAGTTAGTGTAGTAGGAGTCATCAAGATTTATTCTTGATTTAATCCAAGCACGTGCCGATGGCCCAAATAGATGCACACCAAACACCCCTGTAGACGGGGAAAAATGTCAACACTGCCAAACCCCGACATCGTGGCTGGCTGCATGACCTGCATTGTCAAACTATTTGAACCAGCTCAGCCACGTACACAGAGTCAGTCGTCCCCTGATGGGAAGACAAAGTGTTGTGTCTCCTTTCCTGGTTTTGGTTCGGCAAGGCAAGGGATAAAAAGCCTCCAGGTTCAAGGGAGGATGACTGGAATGTCAATAAGCCCGAGACTTTCGTCCCCGTGTGAGAAAGTAGAGACCAGCCACATATTAGGGCTTTTCTTTTATTTATATTTTTAATCTATGTTTTTTTTGTTTGTTTGTTTGTTTGTTTTCCCCTCTTCCCTTCGTGGCCGTTCGCTTTGAATCACACAGTCTTGGCCCAAAGCGAATGAGGCGTGAAGCTACACGAATCAGCTAATACTACTTTTTAGTTTGGAATCCAGCATTGTCCAAATCGAGGGAAAGGATTGTGGAAACCTTGGGAGTCAGGGGTGGAGAGGGATTCCATCCCCCATGTCTCGCAATGACATTGGATTGTAGATGAATCCAAAGACTGAGAACCTTACAACAGATGGCTTTCGAAGTCCGTCCCTGTGGACTTTCTTGTTGTTGTCTGATATAGAAAAGATTGTATCCGTTGGTTGCCACAGGGTCTGCAGTAAGGTAAATACAAATGATAAGTCAATCAAAATAGAATATGATTGGAACTCCAACGGCATGCTGTCCATGGGTTGCCGTGCGGGTAGTGGAGAGGAGAAACCATGGGTCGCCTGAAGAGAACGATGTTTCAGCCTTTCAGGGTCTGTCACATCCAAGGTTTGGTCGGGAGGACCATACGCGAGAGCAACTATAAACAAGGGTGTATATCGTGCAGATGATAAATCAAATCAGATCAGATCAGACGATCTCCCTTGCACGGTTCAAGAGGGCATACTGCGGCAATGATCGAAGTAGATCAAGGAAAGAGAGGAAAGAAAAAGAAAGCCCATGTTGGAACAGACTTTCGTATAAATCAAGGATCTTGATAGATCACGGGGGACAGTGCGCATTAAGCTTATCGATAAGCCCGGCAACTAGTCCCAAACGGGGGCCCACGTAAACACCAAAACAATTCGGGCCTCACCGTGACTTCAGCTCTCGCTCCGTCCGCCGCTTCAGACCCTTGCACGAACTTGCTGCTTCTTTCTCTTTCGCATCGGACATTTAGTCCTCTCTTCCATGTGAACTGATAGGGCCAGGGAAGAATTGCCTTTCTACTCTGATCAGTTTTCTTCTCCCCGTTCTTGTTCGATTATTGTTTCTCTCCTGGTTCCTATCATGTTCCCGTTCCCTCCGTTGCACGGGTCCTAGTCCTTTCATAACTGCCTTTCATTTGACCACCGGGGAGCTTCCTTATCCCCTATCCCAAAATTGGTCGACCCCCCTCCCCCCCCCCCCCCCC